ATGTCGGCGAAGCTGAACAAGGCTCAACGAAACTATAGTGTGACGGATTTGGAATGCTATGCAGCAGTGCTCAGTGTGAAGCGTTCTCGACCATATGTGGGGGGCTCTTCACGATTGTAACATACAACGCTAGCCTTAAATGGTTAATGGGTCAGAAGAACCTTAGCGGTAGACTGGCTAGATGGAGTCTGAAGCTGCAAGCTTTTAATTTCGATATTCAACACCGCAAGGGAGCGCAAAACGTAGTACCCGACACATTATCACGAATGGATGTTGAGGAAATCAGGTTGGCAGACCGGATAATGGACGCGTGCCTTGACTCACCTTATTTTAAGAGCGCTGAGTAGAAGAACTAAAACAGACCATTACCACGGGACAAGACAAGCTACCCGAACTGTGCGTATCGGACAGATATATATACAAACGGACTCAATTTAATAGAGGGGATGAGCTTGAAGAGGACCATGCCTGAAAGCTTTGGGTGCCTTCCGAGCTGAGGTGGGGTTTGGTTGAAGCGACACATCATTCACCTTCTGCAGGCCACGGTGGAGTCCACAAGACGCTCGCCCGTTTGCGTGAGAAGTATTACTGGCCGGGAATGGTGTCTGACCTGCAAAACAGGTAAAGAATTGCGACGTATGCAAAACGTCTAAGACCCATAATAATTTTCGAAAGCCACCAATGGGCACACAACAAATAACTGAGCTACCTTTCCAACGTCTTTACGTCGATTTTATGTGACCATATCCTCGTACAAAGGATAGAAATGTTTTTATGTTTGTATGTCTAGACCATTTCTCCAAATTTGTTTTCCTTACGCCCATGCCTCGAGCGACAGCTGCAAAAGTAGTACAGTTCCTCGAAAGAGAGGTTTTCCTTGTTTTCGGAGTTTGTACATTCGGATAATGGCAAACAGTTTGTGTCAGAGGTGTTCACCTCTTTCTTGCACAAGTACGGTACGAAACATATAAGAACCGCTTTCTACTCCCCACAAGCAAATGCTGCCGAGCGAGTAAATAGGTCGGTGTTGCAAATGATAAGGGCTTATATTAGTGAAACTCAGAAAAATTGGGACCAATACGTCAGTGACGCAGCTTTCGCATTATGGAGCGTAGTACGCTCTGCCACAGGGGAGTCCCCTTACTTTACAGTATTCGGAATGCCTATGGTGCAGCACGGCGGATCATATGCAATTTCACGAAGGCTGGGGTCGATAAAAGATGTAGAGTGTAGAGTAGAATTACGAGATAATAAACAGCAACTGATTAGGAGTAAGGTTTTTGACTCCCTGAAGCAAGCGTATGCTATGGGCGAGAAAATCTACAACACCAGAGCGAAAGAGGTTAAATTCAAAATAGGGCAAGTGGTATACCGCCGAAATTTTAAACAAAGCTCCAAAATCGATAACAACAATGCGAAACTAGCGCCAAAACATGTGCAATGTATTGTGTTGCGAACGGTCGGCAACTCTATGTATGAGTTGGGGGACATTTCTAGAAAGAGCATAGGGGTATACCACGCCAAAGACATCTTTGTTGCATGATTCGTTTAGTGATCTCAGTGCAGTTGTTTATATTCGCTTGTTACTATTGTTTAATGTTTCTTAGCGTGCATTTACGTTTATGTCTATCTTAACGTAGATTCTTATGTATCCGTAGACTTGACTATTCATTAATTTATTTGGACTTTATATGTATTTATTTATTTATCTCTACATACATATATGTTTATAGTTATTGATATCTGTTTACCTACGTGGCGATTGGTATAGTTACCAGCAATTGTGATATAGTTTTAGCATAGATACCTCTGATAAAAATTAGGACTTCCGACAGTGATATAGTAATAACAGCGCATGACTGTGATATAGCTTAAGACAAGTTTTCATTAACATGGTATGTAGGAGTAACTCTACTTATAAGAATGTTAGTCTGTGATATGGCATGTAGGTAGTAGAGATACCCAGTGATAGGTGGGGAATATTAGCAACTGAAATCACAAGGCTGGATGGCAAAGGAACTCAACAGTAGAGGTGTGCCCGGCCTTGGGCATGGGTCGAGGCCACACGTCGGGTGCAGGATAATAATATTGGCACGCTACGTTGGGAACTCCTTGCGCACACACTCCATGATGCAGGCACCATCGGCGGGTGCGAGCCTGTAACGAACCCATTTGGTCAAGAAGCCAAGTGTTTGTTTGTTTGTGTTTCGGCAACCTAAACTATGTCAACCTATACCTACAACCCATATGCAGCGCAGCTGAGTATCTAATACAGCGATGAGCAGAGAGAGCTCTTATTCTGCACGCGCCTATACAAATGTATAGACAGCTTGAAAGAGCTTTGCCCGCATGCAAGGCAGTGCCCATAACCGACCTAATACGCGTATTTGGGTGTATTGGTGTGAATGTTCGATGTCCAACTAGTTGAAATAGAAAGTTCGAAGAGGGTCGTGTCAAACCGAAAGGCTCGTTTGCAGGTTGTGAAAGAGGATTTTTTTTGTTAAACCTAGATACGATCACCAGCTTAGTAACAAAATTAATATAAAAATCACAGTTGGTGAATGCAGTTTAAAGTGCGGAAGTATTAATATTCAGCTTTTGTTTAGCAATAAACAGTTAGGGGTACTGTTCAAAAATAAAAGAAAATTTATTATAATAGTTGTTAGCCGAATACCGTCAGCCACCGGGACAGTCAGCAGTCCGAAAGAAACTACTATTTCCGCCTTGTTCGAGGTAAGCACGCCTTTTTGGTTACAATTATTTATTGTGACGTGTGTACGAATTACCCTAAATAAATTGGCATAAATTGAAAAACAGGAGGATGATGTAATGGATATGCGTGTTTTTATTAGAATAAAAAAATAATAATAATTTAACTAAAGTAGATTGACTTAACTAAAGTAAATTGAGATAATATTTCACAAAGGGAAAAAGGATGTACATGATACACATAAGCTATCTAACAGAAAATAAACTGTCCTAATAGGCATAGACTATTAGGATGGGGTGAGCAGGAGGGCAAACGTATGCACAAACAAAAAAAAATGCAACACATGAGCATAGATGTGTGGATTCCAAATTTATTGTGGAAAATTCTTGCAGGTTCTCGCTTGCGGGAGGTAGCACATAGGACCTCGGCTTTTTTTTGGACCAGTGTACAAGAGCTGCGATATCGCTCATCCCACGGTTATGTATTCATATATGTGTATAAATCGAACAGCAACCATAAGAAATACTGGAAGTCGTACACACCCACATACATACAGGAGTAGTGGCTTGGATTCGGTTGAGCTGGTGCAGAAACTAAAGCGCAGCTGGAAGAAAAGGGGAAAGTCTGAAAATTGGATGGAGAGTTTGGTTCGACAGGAGCGAACATATCTCTACTCGCCCATTATTGCCAGAGCCGTTCCTCTTACCTGCGCTCGCCGCTGACTCATTGGAGTGAACGAGCTCGATTTCGCCGTTGCACCGGCTGTAGGCACTACCTTCGTTTTTTTTTTTTTGTTATCTCGATTTACTTTCTTTTATCTTGCACAAACGCAATTAGCGCTAGCAGCAGAAACCTTATTACCTTTCTTTTGTTTCTAAGTTGTCATATGCACTGGATTAGCACTTTACACTACTATTTCAAACTGAAGATTGTTCACCAAGTTTAAGC